TCAAAGCATGGAATCAAGCATGAGATGATAAATTTTGAAACACTATCGCATAATGGTATAGCTAAAAGGATAAACTGCATCATTATGAAAAAAGTCAGATGTATATCAAAGATGACAAAATTATCAAACCATTATGGGGTGAAGCAATCAATATAGCTTGTTGTTTGCTTAATAGATCACCATTAATTCCTTTGAGCTTTAACATTTCAAAAAGAACGTAAACAAGGAAAGATGCTTTATAATCTCATTTGAAAATTTTTGAGTGTAAAGTATTTATACATGTGCTAAAAGAGCATAAATAAAGCTTGACAGTAAAGCCCCACAATGTGTGTTTGTAAAATATGATGATGAAAAATTTGGCTATAAGGTATGGGATCTAGTGAAAAGAAAGATAATCAAAAGGAGATATGTGATCTTCTATAAAAAAGAAATCATAGCAAACTTTGAAAAAAATGAAAAGACTATACGGGTTATTATTGAGTCTGATGTTTTAACACCGATAAAGGTTTCACTTGAAAGAGTCACAAATGGTGAAAATGAACAAGAGATAAAACTTGAAGATACGAATGAGCCAGCCACAGTTAGTGATGAGCCAGTTACAATCAATTTTAAGTAGGAAAAGTAATCTTCTCTGCTTAAGAGTATTTAGCAAGGTAAGCAGTCCTCTCTACCAGAGAGTGTTAAGTAAAGAGAGCTACTTTCGGAATTAGATAGTGTAGAGTCTCAACCTAGAAGATCTACTAGAAAGCATAGGTCATCTATCAAGTATTCAAGTTTAAATTTTATTTTAGTTACCAGTGAAGGAGAGCCAAAAAGCTTTCAAGATGTGTAGATTACTATGAATATAGAGCATTGGTTAAAAGCAATGAAAAAAATAAAGTATTTGTGAAAAAATGGTACATATGATCTTGTTAACTTTTTGAAAGGGAAGAGACCATTGAAGAATAAATAGGTGTTCAAATTGAAAAAAGATGATGACAAACTAGCGAGGTATAAAACTCGATTGGTGGTGAAAGGTTTTTCTCAGAAACTTGACATTTATTTTGATGAGATCTTCTTTTCAGTTGTGAAGATAAGTTCCATTCGAGTGGTACTGAGATTAGTAGCTAGTTTAAATCTTAAGTTTGAGCAACTTGATGTTAAGACTACATTCTTGCATAGTGATTTGTAGAAGGACATTTATATGGATCAACCTGAGAGTTTTGAAGTAAAAAAAAATAGCACTTAGATTGCAAACCAAAAAAAAAAAAACTTGTATAACTTGAAACAAGTTTCACGATAATGGTACAAAAAATTTGATTATTTTATGGCGAGCTACAGTTATAAAAGAATACAGTGGATTTTTGTATATATGTCAAAAATTTTTTTATGGTAACTTCATTATTCTCTTATTATATATTAATGATATGTTGATTATGAGATAATATGCTGGTATCATTCACAGGTTGAAAGAACAATTGTCTTATTCTTTTAACATAAAGGATTTAGTTTCTGCAAAGCAGATTCTTGGTATCGATATTAACCAAGATAGAATAGCTGAAAAGCTGTGATTATCATAGAAAAAGTAAGTTGAATGGGTGCTTAGTAGATTCTTCACATGCAACATGTTAAATCAATTAACAATCTACTTGCTAACCATTTTTATTTGAGTAAGAAATCTTATCTGGTAACGAAAGAAGAGCAACTAGCTATATTTAGTATTTTTTATTCTTTTGCAGTTGATTCTTTGATGTATCTTATGGTTTATATGCAGCCTGACGTTACTTATGCAGTTGGTATAGTGAGTATATTTCTTTGTAATATAGGAAAAATTTACTAGAAAATAGTGAAATAATTTTTAGATATTTGAGGGGCACTTCAAAAATATACTTGAGTTATGGAGTTTCAGAACCAGTTCTAAAAAGGTTCATTGTGCTGATATGGCAAGTGATTTTGAAGATAGGAAATTTACTTTAAGATATTTATTCATTTTTGTAAGAAGAGCTATGTCTTGATAGTCTAAGTTATAGAAGTATATTACCTTATTAACTACAGAGGCTGAGTATATTGCATCAATTAAAGTAGGTAAAAAAATACCTTAAATGAAATATTTTTTCCTAAATTAAGATTAAATCAAAAAGAGTATGTGTTATTTTATGATAGCCAGAAGTGCTTTAGATTTGAGTAAGAATGTCATGTACCATGCTAAAACAAAGCATATTGATATTAGATATTATTGGCTATGTTCAGTGATTGCGAAACAGTAAATGCAATTAAAGAAAGTTCATACTAATGAGAATATGATAGATATATTAACTGAGATACTTCATAAGAAAAAGTTTCAGCTCTATAATAACTTGATTGAAATGGATTTCTTGACTAAAGTAAGTTTCAAATGAAATTGTTATAGTGATGAATCTCCTCTTAATGGGATTGGAGAGAGAGATTGTTAGGAATGTAAGGCCCAATCTTATGTAATTTTTTTTAGCTAATCAAAAGTCGTGGGTTTTTGACTTGTAACCTAAAATAAAGCTTTAAACAATAAAAGAAGTTGTTGGGTAATGGGTGAAAAGAGTGGTGCCATAAGTCAAGGAGAGAGAAAAAAAGAAAAGCCAAAAAAATAGAGAGAAAAGGAATAAGGGAGAGTTGGTTGAATATAAGTTGATTTGTGGTCTGATTGAGCTAAAATTTTGTTAGTAAGTTTATGATTCAAAGTTTTACATTTTGAATGGTGGAGATCAGGTTTGAAGCTCTCTAGGAACAAATCCAATATATATTTATTGGGTTACTTATTTAGTGAGATTTTTTTTTATTTTTTTAATTGTTAATTAGCTCTAGTTTTAGTTAGAGAATAACTTTGTATATCATTATTTAATTATAAAAATTTTTCTGATGATTTATGATTTTTTTCCTCTACACGAAAGGGCTTTCAACATAAATTTCGATATACTTTATTTTTTCTACGTTATTGATTATTGTTTATTATTGTATATTTATTACGATATATTATTTTAACGTTGTTGGTTATTGTGTTTGTTGCTTCAGATCCAATAAATTTATCCAACTAACCTTGTAGAACTGGAACATCCCCTTCTTCAATGAACTTGCATAGATGAAAGTTTGTCCAGATTCAACAAGCGCTCGTTGTTCGATCGTAAAGCGAAAACAGGAATCTGGAATTCCTCTGCAACATCCATAACCGAATAAGACAAGATCCCATCTTCTATTATGCACGTAGCAGGCCGCCACCTTCCCTTTTTCATGCAAAAGGAAACCAAATGGTCACAGAGGGCTGGCTTCATCACAGCACCTGTAGACAATAAAACATCAGCAAGACGCACCGGACCCAAAAGTGGATGATCAAGTGGTAGACCATCAGGGATCGTTAAGAACTGAAAGTCAGGGTAGCGTGCCGGCATGGCGGTGGAAAGGAGACACCCGTGGAAGTGTTGAGTGTTTGTATACGAAGGTGACTTGGAAACTACCATGGCCGAGAAGCTCTGCTAGGTAAAGCATGGGTTTGATGTGGACGAGGGCAGAGAAGGGCAATAAAACTACGTGTGGAACATGGGGTTCTGATCTGCAGAGTGGATTAATTAGCTCCAAACAATCGTTAAATTCATAGATAATTGGTTCTTTGTAAGTCGCAGCATTTGCATGACTTTTACAAATTTAGTCATCTATTTCAAAATTTTAAGTTGAAGCTTATGGAAACTCGAAAGGTGTCTAATACCAATAGAGTATATTTAAGTAATACTGCGTCTGTAGACAGATCACGAGCTTTATGTTGGCCCTGTGAAAGCAACAGAGAGATTAAAACTTGCAGCTGCCTCACTTCCAGCTCCATTGTTTTGGAATAAATGAATAATGATCGGCATACATTTGCATTCTGAGGACGGTGGCTTTCTCATTTTTGTTATATAATCTCATGTCAAGTACAATTGCACGAACCCGAGCGGATTCATGGCCAGGCTGGGGGCCTATTTCACGCTATAAATTTGTTAGGTTGGGCTTGGTAATAAATCAGGCTAAAACAAACCCGAGAACCCAAAAAGAATTATATCCAACGTACTCAAAAGAGACAGATCAAGGTGGTTGGATGAGTACCAATAGTGCAAAGCTGGACTCTCTGTATCAAATATTGACACCCATTATTCATGACTGGTCCTGTCATTCCCAAATTAGTGACGCAAAAAAAGATATAAAATTTATTTTTGGCAGGGACGCTATCACAAAACAAGAAGTTAGGATAAAGATTTTGGACTTTAATCTCTTAATAAAGTGCGTGTTTAAATCGCCCATAGTACTTTTTTTTGGGTAAAAGGTTGAAGGTCGAATGCATGCGAAGATTGGAAAACGACAATCCCAAAAGAGAGACAGATAAAGAAAAGAAAAAGAAAGATTGCAGAAATAAAAATACCAAACAAAGATTCCCATTAGATAAAATGTCCAAGAACACCCAAAATTTATGTGGGCTGAGCTCGTCTTTGCCCTTTGTCAAAAAAATAGGCCACGGCCACACTAGAGTGGTGAGTAGTAGGCGTTTGGTGAAAATTTCGGTAATTTAAATACTACTCGCTCTGACTTATTTTTTTGTTTTGTTTTGAGATATCTTAAAATTATAATTTATTTTTTAAAATATTTATTTTTTTATATTTTAAAATTACATCTTACATTTTTTATTTTTTTTAATATTAAAAATTATAAAACTTTACTTTTATCAAAAAATTTTAATTTTAAAATAGCAAAAAAAATTTTTTTGAATTCTATAAAATTTAATATAAAATAAATAAATAGGGACAAAGAGGATATTATTTTATTTTCTATCTGTTTGAATGATAAATTACCTTCTCAAAACTCTTTATCTTAACCTTTTCTTTTATTAACGATTGATTATCCAAAAATCTAAGAATGAGAGATGATAAAAATTAAAACTTCACAGAAGACAGAAAAGACAAATATTAAAGTCATTAATGTAAGACTTATTTTTATCCCATCGATAATCGGTGCATGCACTCATAATTAATAGTATACGAATATGTAGACCCGGCTGCAGTGGCGCGTGGGACCACACTTCCATCGGGATTCGCCCCGTGGAAGTAAGGAAGACACAGTTTTCAAAAGTCACAAGTAGCGGACCCAACATTTCTACCCAAATCCCCCGCCTCGTCTTTGCTTCGCTTTTAACCACCGTTCGATCTCAAAAACATATCGCCAACTTCCCACGCTCACTCTCCCTTCTCTTTCACTCACTCCCCCAACAAAACACCCCAAAAAAAGCCGCGTCTTTTGTTTGTCACTTGATTGTTTCCTTCCTCTTTTGGCGCTGATATAATGAACAAAAATGATTTTTTTTTTTGGGAGAGGGAAGAAAAAGATTGGTGATTGCTTTTTTTAAGAGAGTTATTTGTTCTTTGTTCTCAGTTGGCGGTAATTCTTAGTTCTTTGCTTTGCTTAGAATCTACGTTTTTGAGCTTGTTTGGCGCTTGGGATTTTCGCCGACTTATTTCTCTCTGTAATCGTGATCTTTCTCGATATCGACGAGGTATTCGAGATTTACGTCATTTTCTTCAACCTGCATTGCCTCCATTTCTACCTGGTAATGGATGATTCTCTCTCTCTTCCTTCTTTACGTTTATCTGTTTTTCTTGTCAGATAATTAAAGTTCTGTTTGATAGCCGAGAAACAAGAAGAAAATGAAGAAATAGTTTTGTTTTCTATTCATTTTGCTTCAGCTGAATTTAATTTGTAATTGTAAGAGAAATGATGTTTGCTGCTAGCTGTTAACTTCAATTCAAGAGTGGAAAAATGTGAACTTTTTATCTTGTTTTCTTTTGCATTTCCCGTAATTTTCTCAACTGCGAAACATAGGCAGGATTCGGTGATTCTTCATTAAGATTCTTTGCGGATCTGTTTAGATGCTTTATTTTTGGACGTGAATCGAATGCAGCAGATTGTGTTTGATTTTGGAGGATGGATTTTTTATTTTAGTGGATCTGTAGATCAAAAGAGAGAAAAGTGTCGTCGCTAAGAACTTAGAATCTTTCTTCTTTTTTTTTTTCTATATGCTTTAGAATTACTGGACCTAAGATTGACTTCCGTTCAAGTGGGAAGAAAATATTTACAACTTTGGGACTTTTTTCAACGGTAAATAAATGTGGCTGATGAGATTAGTATGAAAAGAAAACCAAATGATTTGTTGGGTAATCACCCAAGTCATTTCTATTGGTCCGTTGACGTGCTGAGGTGCTATAGATTCCAATTACGGAAGCATTACTAGTTTTTCTAATGTTACGTTTGTTATCATTGGATTTAAATTTTATGTGTTTTTACAGGGGAAAATGGACTTATAATCTTATATATGGGCAGGTAAAAATGATGAGCTAGGATATGCTAGACCCTGGATGATTAACATAATTTTTTTTCCGTATTTGTTGATCAGAGATGATTAGGACAAGTTTTTGTTCAAATAGGTTTGGAGAGGAAACTTGACATGTTTTGTTAATGACTTTTAAAACTAGCGATAATTTAGTATATTGTCATGTATATCGTATTCAGCCACAAACCAGGTTATTCAATTAAATTGGCAGCTTATGTGAGAACTTTCTTTCTTTGCACTTTTGCAGCTGAGATGTTTTGGTAGAGCACAAGAATTTATCCGATACCATTTGATAGAAGAAAAGCTAATGAATACTTAACCCCGGCGGGACATGGGATTTGGTTCAGTGTCAAAAAAGAGTTCAAACCCGCAGCAAAATTCAAAGATAGGGAAGGAGAAAGCTGAGTTGCCTCAAGCAAACCTGAGGTTAAAGAATCAAGGCGAGTTAAAAGTGAAGAATGGTATTACTTTTTCATATGGTAATCCACCAGGTGAACTAGGAAAATATCAAATACACAGCACCTTCGTCCAAACAAAATCCTTAGGGGATTACCAGGGCCAGCCTCTCAAGGGCAAGCCAACAAAAGAGGAGGAGCTTGTCAGGTACATGTCAAACTTGCCAGGTTACCTACAGCGTGTAGACACTGGAGAAAACCTTCAAGAGAAGGCATTGAATGTGGGAGTTCTGGATTGGGCACGTTTAGAAAAATGGAAGTACCAGCAAAGGCATATCCCGACAATAACTGGCAATGATGTATCATCCACAAGCACCAATTCATCATTGAAAACAAAGACCAAGTCATCTGCCCTTTCTAGTGCAGTTCCCAAGGATGCTTATGCCAATAAAAGTAAGCAACACTCTTCAACTTGCTCCAGTCTTAGCTCATCTCATGAGGATGGCTTTCCCCGAGGTGCAAAACCATCTACTCAGAAGGTTAGACACTTTCAAGATACTGCTTTCAAGAGCACCGTGGATCAGCAGAAGAAGACACCCAAGACACATACATCCTTTGGCAAAACTTATTCAGATGTAGTCCTTGAGAAGGGAAAGAAAAAAGTCTTAGATCAGAAAATCGCTTCTGAAATGGGAAATATTTCATCAAACATGAGAAACCTTTGGGCCTCACCTCTGCCAAATGAAACTGCAATTGCTGGTGAGGGTGGAGCAGCTAAGAGAGTAGAGCAAAGGCTGGAAATTGATGTGAATAAAAAGGACTTGGATCAGAAGAATACTTTAGATGTGGAGGCTTCTTCATCCAAATCAGGAAATTATGCAGTTTCATTGGGTTCTAGGAAAAAGTTGAGTGCTGAGAGCGACAAAACTGAGAAGAAAGAGACCCAGGAATCAGAAATTGGCCTTACTCATCAACATTCTCCTGGTGAGTGCAAGAATGTTGCTCTTCATCTTCCAAGATCCTACCGAAATAGCTTTTTTGAAGAACCCCGAGAATTATTGGATGAGACTTTGAATGAAGCAAATCGGAATAGTTTTTCCTATGATTTCCTTCAGAAGGTTCACTTTGGGGAATTATGTTCTGAAGTCCCTCATTCTTGTCCGCTTCCTTCTGAGATGATGGAACAGGGTCGGGAGCCTTCATCTGATGCATCTCATGGGTCAGCATGCTCAAATAACACAGGAAATATAAGAACTCAGGGCATGTGTTCAGCAGAGAACAAGATTAAATCTCAGGATGCTGATAATGAAACTTTAAAGATACTGCAAGAAGAAATGGCCGAACTGGCAACCAGAAAAAGCAGAACAAATTCACCAAGTCGTCGTTTTAGTTTCAGCTTGAGTCGTATTGGTAGAAGTTTTAGTTTCAAGGAAGGTTCTGCTGTCCCACAATTGAGCTCCACTTATGTTTCTGTCAGGTCTGGCCCATTGAGATCTGATTCTTCTGTTTTTTCAGATGACGCAAACAGAGAGAAGGTCCATACCAGAACTAGGTCCAGCCCCTTAAGAAGGATGCTAGACCCACTACTGAAGTCGAAGGGCTTAAATTCCTTCCCTTTCACTGACACTGTTCAGCCATTGAAAGGAAGCTTGAATTCCTCTACTCCAAGGCCAGTTAATACTAATGAATCCCTTCTGGAAGAAAAGTTTGGGTCATCAACGGTTCAAGCTCTTCTACAGGTTACAATAAAGAATGGACTCCCACTGTTCAGATTTGTTGTCGACAATGGCAGTAACATGCTTGCAACTACCGTGAAAAGCCTATCATCAACTGCCAAGGGGGAATCTGATCAGAATTACATATTCTATTGTGTTAGTAAAATTAAGAAGAAGAGTGGCAGCTGGATAAGTCAGGGAAACAAGGAAAAAAATTGTGGCTACATCTATAATATTATTGGACAAATGAAGATTTCCAACTCTCATATTTCAGACTTGACTGCACAGGACTCTTGTAATCAGTATCTGGTAAGAGAGTCTGTTCTGTTTGGCGTGGAGCAAAGACAAGCAGATCAAGCATCAGCAAAGTTTACAGCAAAAACGGAGCTTGCTGCTGTTGTAATCAAAATGCCTGGTAAGACCAATGATGTACAAGAGGGTGATAACAACAAAATGAAGAAAGGCTTTTCAGAATGTTTGGCTACGGATAGATTCACTTGCGACTCTGTGGAAATTGCAAGCTTTAATGGTACTATTGTCATACTTCCTGGTGGTGTCCATAGCTTGCCAATCAAAGGAATACCTTCCCCATTGATTGAACGATGGAAATCTGGTGGATTATGTGACTGTGGAGGTTGGGACGTTGGTTGCAAATTATGTATTCTCTCCAACCAGTACAGCAGATGCTGTAAGATTTCAAGGACATGTCAAGCTTGCCTAAACCCCAACCGACTTGAACTCAATGTGCAGGTATCCTCTTTTCTTTTTTATTACCTTTTAGTTTCTCCATTATATTATAATTTTGTCAAGATATCTGAATTAGTTCTTGTTTTGCACTTCATGCAGGGAGAAGCACAAAAGAACAGGCCTACCTTTAGCTTGGTTCCACATAAGAATGGAATCTACACAATTGAGTTCAGTTCATCAATCACTGCATTACAAGCTTTCTTTATTTCTATAGCAGTTATAAGCTGTCAAAAATCGTCTGGTCTGCCAGAATTCAGTTACCTGTCCAATGGAAAAGTTATAAAGGAGACCGTGGTGAATGGCAGCCGTGGGATGGAGAACAAACCAGCCATCGTTCTTGGAACCATGCCTGCAAAATATGCTCCTAACCCTCCTCATTCCCCTGTTGGGAGAGTATAGTTTCAAACGTGGGACGTGCTTTGTTTTTCAGGTATAATTCTCAAGTCTTAGAATTGCTACAACGGGAAGCCGGGTTTAACTCTTGAAAAGTGCATCCTACGTTGACAATCAATCATTAATGAGACGTACAGGGAATCAGGGTATAGGCTTGTTAGACATTGTTAATCATCATGATTTTGTAATAGGTGCACGACATTACCAACAGATCACTTGTATAAAAGAAATAAAATTGGCAATTTAATAAAGCACTCACTGTTTTAATCAAGTGAGTTTTTCTGTGTTGGAAAATGCTTATACTTTTTGAAGCAGGGAGACAACCTTGTTATGATCATAAAGCAACTTGACTACATTAACTGAACAACGTCCACGGCAGCAGCAGAGATCCAAGGAAAGAAACGAGGGAAGGTTGATGAAACACGAAGTTAAAAGCCCCTGGTAATAGTATTTACAATTTAATATACCGTATCAAGCTGAGAAGTCTGAGAGTAACTACGGCCGAAAGAACTGGGATAAGCAAACCCCCATTTTAGAAATAGAACAGCCTTTAATGAAATGACTTGATTTATGTAAGAAACGAGGGACGTGATGAAACACGTAGTTAAAAGCCCTTTATCTAGTCCCCTGGTAAGAGTATTTACTATTTAATATACCGGATCAAACTGAGAACACTGACAGTAACTACAGCCAAAAGAATTGGGATAAGCAACCCTGAAACCCCCATTTTAGAAATAGAACAAACTTGATGAAATGACTTGATTTATGTAACATCCACTCAAATTGAGGGTGGAAAATCAGACACCAACAAAAAGGAATATGTTCGGACAATCAGTTCTACAAATGGGTATCCAAAATGGTCTTAAGCAAAAAAACAACACGAATATGCATGATAGACTAAGCGCAAAACGTACTGAGGCAGAACTGTGGTTCCAAAATGTAAATTGATGCTTTCACAACTCGGCTGGGGAAGCATGGTGAATACATATAAACCACTGACCATCAATCCTCTCAAACACATTCGTCACAAACTGTCCCCCCCAACTGTTACCTTTTGTCTTGACAAATTCCATGCATGTAACATACCCAACATCTCCTTTAACATGAACTCGAACATTTTTCAGTTCTATCTCTAGTGGAAATTCATAGTTCATCCATACAATTTCCCAGCTTTCCATTACAAAATCATAACCGGATATCCCATTTGCTGCTGGGTGTACACAACAAACATCATCTCCTTTTGCCCAAAGGTTCTGCATTGTGGCTAGATCCCCTCTTCTGAAAGCATCATAAAACCGAGAATTTGCTGCCAGCACTGAAACCTTACTATCCTCATGAAGGACTCGAAGGTCATCCCTGATTTTTGCTGCTTCGGCATAGTTCTCTTCCTCAATGGCAATCTGTAGGTCCCTTCGTAAGGTTTGTTCATCCAATATGGAGCTTTCAGCATTTAGGTTCCCCTCAATTTCATCTCCTTTTGCTTGACAAGGCATCAATGGTACCCATATGTGGATTTTGTCTAAAGGGTGCTGCACTAAATTAATCGGGAATTAGACCTGTGTGAAACTCAAGTCCTATTAGGAAATACAGGAAATTATTTTGGTGAAACAATGAAACTAAATAAAAGTAAAATTGATCCAATAAAAAAATATATTGCATTACTCTTTGGAAGCTAAATGTGGGCTCAAAACACAGATAACCTCACCAAAAAACTAAAAGGAAAAGCTCAACCAACTTAACAATGAATTTATACGGAAAAATCCAGAAAAATCAGAGGAAAATACATTGTTTAATGCATAACATGCCCATCGAGGCAACAAAGTTTAAAATACACTATGCATTCTAAAACTTAAATCAGACACGGTTCATGATCATGAACAACTGAAATTACAGTGGCAGTTGACAAACAAGCCATGTAATTCAGAACAAATATGATAAAGAATTAACTACCAGTTTTGAAGGTCTACATAGAGGAACATTTAAGATCAGGTGCCGCAATTATGAAAACAAAAACAGAAACTTTACAATGCCTTCTTTCTTACACAAGCTGGGCCTATCACATACGGATGAATAGTGCAGATAGCTGCTAAGCAAAGAAACTTACGAGGTCTTCCTCTTGGCAACTTGGGCAGACATTGAACCGGAAAACACTCAGTCCTGTTTCCACTTGAAATCCTAGCTAAAACCACATTACATCGCTTTGGAAGAGGTGGAAAAAAGCAATGAAGACTCCTGAAAGTATTAGTGCTTGAACATGGCATGCAATTAACATTTACCTAGAACAATTAAAGAAAATTAAGGGTTAAAGACTGAATTATAAATATTTGTAACTGAATTTTTACCAAACAAATGTGCAATTTTCATCTTTCATTATTTCAAGAAATCATTTTTCCCAAATAAATTGATATAAAAAATGAGCTTGAAACCATATCTAAAGGATTTAAATTTAAGAACTTGAATTCGGTCATTAACTAGATTAATAAAAGATGAAAATTGTCTATTTGTAGAAATTCAAGGATCAATAGCAACTAAAACTTCAGCAAAAAACCGAATTACAAATAAAGTACTAGGAGAAAATTAAACTTACATAGTAGCAAAAGCTAGATCCTTGGACTGCCATGAAAGGAAAAGTTATTTACACGGAAAGGTATTATAACAAAGAGAAAATTTCAGGTTTTGGGCTTTGAAGATAAAAGGGTTTTTGTTAAGATGTTATCTTCTGCGAGATCACGACAGAACAGGCGCCGGGAAGCAGAACTGGAAGGCTTGCTTGTTGAGGGCATTTCAGGTAAAAGACAAGAAAAAGGGCTATGGGCTCCACAGTCCAATTGAACATAGGCTTAATTGACAATTACTTAGATAAAATATGGGTCTGATTGCAGAGACTTGAGTTTTGGATTCACTTATTCGAAGCCCACTTTATTTCACGTTTGGTATTATTAATGCCTGATTCATCGGAGAAACCTTTTGCTGAATTTTCAGAAATATACCCAGACCTTGATATGATCCTATTCCTCACAGATATGCTAATGCTAGAGAATCAAATTTCAATGATAATGTTAAAAGCAATCGCAGATATAACCTACAAAATTTGGTGGACTTTGTTGAGGCTCTATCTCCTCTCTAATTAGCCTATAGTTGTTAATTTCATTTTAGTATCAATTGTATTAATCGATATATTTCAGTTATATCAAACTACGGTATATTTAAAAATAATTTTTCATATGAAATTTGATATCAATTAATAAAAATTATTTTTATTAGTTTTAGTGAGTTCGGATGAATTTCGGTGAAATATTATATTATGATCGATACATGAATGTAAAATATATTTTATAATTTTTAACTTACTTTTGTTATTTAATTATTTTTAACCTAATAAAAATAAAAGTAATTAACAAAGTAAACTTTAAAAGTTAAGTTTCTTTATTTTTTATTTTAACTTGTTTTTTTTATATTTTATTTTTTCAAACAAAAGTTTATAAATATTTTCTTTTTTTTAAAGAAAATTATTATACTCATTTTATAAAGTTTAACAATCATAAAACTTTGATTAATTTTTTTATATATTTGTTTTTATCTTAATATTTATATTAAAAAAATATTTAAATATCATATGATCAAATTAAGTGTTTAAAAATATCATGAAAAATTTATGATATTATTTCTTATGTTTTTAAACTTATTTATTTGATTTGAATATATTGCATGTTTATTTTTTGACTTATTAATAATATTTAATGTATAAATTCATGCATGTTTATAAATATATTTGTATTAAATCAAAAAATTTAAAATAATATACCAATACAACTGATACTAATATATATCATATTTTTTAAAAAAATCAAAACATTATTTGATACGATATTAACAACTTTTCTACAAACCCCCAATTTTGTCAAGCATAAGCATTTGTTGGATCTCTTCTACCAATCGATTTGTCCCAAGGAAGACAGAAACGAAAGAGAAAGAGGAGGATCACTGAAACCCCAGATTGTTTTTTTCCTTTTTAGTAAGCTCCTGGCTTTGTTATCTGTACCACAATTCAACTTTGCAGCTCTTCCTGTATAACTCATGAAATTACTTCTCACTTTTCTTGAACTATTTGGAATATCCCCTCACAATTTCTTTGATAAGAACAGAGGATGGATTCCTACAGCTTCACAGCTCAATGATGCTGGACTGAAATTCTCCACTTGTGAAAGCATCAAACATATCAAATTCGACAACCAAACTCTTTACCTTCCTGTCGTAAGTAACTTTATACTCAGAGCCTGACCAAGAAAACATTCTCAGCTCAAAGCTTACTTCAGAAGTGATGCTGAGAAAAATAGTGGCATTTGAAAGCATGTCAAAGGATAATCCTTGCCTTTCACTCGACAGAGTCAATTAATGAAAGGGATCCTAGATAATGCTGAGGATGTGAATTTGCTTAAGAAAGCAAGCATCATCAAAGGTGATTTATATATTGTTGAGGAAATGAAATATTGCAAAAAAAAGTTGCAATTTACTATAAATTCGTAGTAGCTTCTGCTTCAAAACTAATTTTTTTTGTTGAAAATAATAATAAAATTTGATTTTGAATCATTTGACATGAAGAACAATGTGAAGATTTAAAGCGTGATGGTTGGTGGACAACAATTTCAAAACTTCAAGCCCTTCCGATTATGTTTGGGCTTAAGTTGGAGCCACATTGATTCGGATTTTGTTTAGAAATCGAAACCATTTGTTTTTTTAATTTTTGGTACTAAATCGAAGCCAATTTTCCCTTTTTCTTCGACGGACCAAAATTGAAAATTCCAAGAAGTTTCCTAAACTAAAACAATTTAAGCATAAAGTTGAATATTTCCAAGGGGAAAAAAAATTCCTGACCCAACCAGTTGACCTTACCAACTTAGTTGTATGGAAGGTGCAGCATGCGGTGGTCTTGTTGGAAGAGTCTGAACAGACTTCTAAGTTTCTAGCAATCAGTTTCGATAAGAACATTCTAATTCTTCAAAAGTCAACCCCTCCGTCTTATTTAAAGTCTCGTAATCATCATAAAGTTAATGAGTTCCCTGCCAGATCTTCTAGAAAATGAAAATTCAACATCGCCCTCAAATTTCAAAACCAATATATATATATATATATATGATTAAATAAAATTGAACAGGCATAACATGATGACGTTAAAAGTTTTTTTTGTAGTAGACGAAAGCAATGGCAATTTTTGACGTATATTTTGGAAAAAACCAACTAAATGGTAATTTCATTAAAAGAATATCAACTCACAAACAAGACGCAATTAATATTAATGTTAAAGGCATCGATAAGATTCGAATCCAATGAAATGATAAATTTATTCATAAAATTAATATTTAATTGATCACGTAAAATTTAATTAATGAGGAAATTAAAAAAATTAATTTTATTTTTGTTAACTTTAATTTATTGATTTTAAAAATTTATAATAAAAATAATTGATAAATACAATAAATTGACAGTAAAAATTAAATTTTAACTTCTATTAAATTATTAAACATAAAATAGGATTATTGGAAAAAAATAATAAAAAAAAGTTAACAATTTTTGTTTGGGAACCAATTAAATCTATTTAACATATAAAGACCAAGGGTTTCTAAATTTTTTTGGGGTGGCTCCCATTGTGATCCACCCTTTGGATGAAAGGTAAACGTTGACCAATATTTAGCAGCAATTGTAAAAATGATATTTAAAACAGAAATCTTTAATTTATAATTTTTTTTAAATTGGAGAAAACAATTCATAAACACTTGTTAACCGATTCCTAGATGATATTATGTGGCTCTGATTTAAGTAGAGACTAACACAACACCCAGGAATGAAGCCAGGAACCATGAAAGAAAAAAAATGATGCTGACATTGTGTTGGGAACTTGAAAGGTGGTGCTCATATTTTGGCATTTAGTACCGCACACTGCGGAACACGGAAGCTGAAGCAACAAACAAATTAGGCACCCAGCAAAGTCAGGCCTCCATTCATTGGAGCTTTCCCGGTCCCCACGGTCCTAACCTGATGGCAGCAGCCTTTCTAATTTTGAAAAAGCTTTAAAGCCTAGTTTAGGCTATTGGATTAAGAGAGAGTGCGACTTAGGCTTTGGGTTTTTTTATCCATATGCAACTTTGGCGTGACTTTCTGGTCTCGTATTCGAGACTCGAATTATAATTGTCAATTTTAATTTAAAATTATAAAAAATTAAATTTTAATCATTAAAATTTAATTTTTAATATTTTATTAATAAATCACATATTTATTAATACCATTTTAATTGCCATACATAAGAAAGGACACAATTAACTCGATTAATTTAAAACAAATGTTTAGAATTTATGACATATTTTTTTAAAAAAATACATATATAAGGGTTAAAGGTAGTCCTAAGTGCTAAAATGAGTTGTTTGAGAGAAGGACGACAATTAAACAAGTCGCAATCATGTTTCTAGAAAGCCGCCTCGGCGGTTTTGGTTCTTCAAAATCCCCCCAACAGGCCAACATCAACCCCCCACCCCCCCTCTTCTTGATCCATTCTTTTACGTTTCATCGTTTTCGTGCTCTTTGGTACATGAAATAATAGCCCACCTTGACAGTGGGGAGAGGTCCACCCGTCGGCAATAACGACCATTGACTCGTTGAAATCCACGTACTATCTGCTTTCTGATTTGAATTTTTCTTCTATTAAATTTATCATATCTAATATTTGTGACAAATGGCAATTCCTTGCTTTTCTATTAGATTTGGCATAACTGCCCTTAACTTTCACCAAGGACTAATCTCACCTTTCATTTCCTTTCCTAATCTATACTAATAGAAAATTAATTAAACTCTAATTATCATGTTTTGGTAAAGGGGAAAATATTAGTCATTAAGAATTCAAAAAGAAAAATTGCAATTAGTGTTTGGACTAACGTCATATAACATTTGAAATTTTTTTGTATCAATTTATATATTTTTTTAATTTGATATCAAATATGTAATTAAAATTTTTTTACAAAATTTTTGACATTATTTTATAATTGAAATAATTTGAAAGATAATAAACAAATAAAATTGTATAAAGTATGGTTTTAATTAAAAAATAAATTAATTAATTGAATTAGTAAAAATTGAATATTTAACTTATAAAATTTAGGTAGATTTAATTTTTGTCTATCAATTTTTTTTTTTATAGAAGATCTTCAAATTCAATGTAACTGTTAGCAGAGACCTAAAATATACTTTAATTTTGAAATAAAATAACATCTTCTAATCTAATTTTTTATGTAAAAAAAGTAAAAATACTTTAAAATATTCAAAACTCTCGCATATATCAATTACGTAAGCTAATATTAGTTCAAGAGGAAGGCAATGGAATTGTGAGTTGCTGAATGGGGTCTGAATTTTCCATTTGCTGATCGATAAGCTTTTCTTTTCTTTTTTTTTTCTTTTTCTTTCGTAAGGGGAAAAGTAAACCAAAACGGCAAAACCCAGCCAGATCCTTGTTCTTTGTATCACTAATTAATTAAGGAAAGTTTTTCACTATTAGCTTCCAGGTCATAAATACTTCGGAAAAATCTTCATATTAATTAAATAATAAGCCACACAACGAAGGCCATTCCACAATTTTCCATCCCATGGTTCTCGGATTATGTCCATATATTTATATAGTTAATAACGTGTTTTTAATGTCACGCTAATTTTGATTATGATCATAAATTTTCTCTTTTTTTTAATGAAAAACTTCAGTTTTTCTTTTGGATTACAACTTACCCCTCAAGTTTCTTATTTTACAAATTTGTCCACCTACAATTTTTCTTAATCATTGGAATTAAAATTTTCTCATAATGTATAAAATAATAAGAATTCTGTATCAAAATCGCTTTTAATAAATGTCCATTTGGAACTTATAATTTGTTGATAATAGTAAAAACGAAAAATGTTAATTTTGTTTTATATGTAAATGTGCATCCCCAGTTGCACTTAATAACATGGTGGAAGTCACTTGGTTATGAAGTTGTTAGTAAATATATATTTATTTATTTATAATAAGAATTAGAAAAGGAGTAGCATGTGAGATTGGTAAAGGTTAAGCAAGAACGAGAAATTCACAGACATACTGGCAAGTAAGAAATACGACTATATTACCAAAAATTATTTCACCCTTCGAGGTGGTGCGTTCAACGTGCGAATCCCGCATGCTTTTCTCCGCCCTCCACTCCCTTTAATTTTTACCCACACTTGTATCAATTTATTCTTAATCAACCAAAGACAAATGCTCTCTTCTCTGCCGCATTGTCCATCTCGCTTGACGTGGCGATTCTACGTCAATCTAAAATCTAAGAATCGTCTTCTTCCATATTTCTCTTTCTGCCACCGCTCTCTCAAGAGCCTGTTAATTATCGCAAGCTGAGAGGCTCGTGACCATCTCACCCACCAAACAAGGCCACTTTTAGTAAATATAATAATCTAAATAAAACATATATTCTGCCCGGAATTGCAGGCCGAGGACGGAGGACAACTTGGTCATGAAAAATATATATTTACAGCCTCTCCGAAGGTAAAAGAAAAAAAAAAAGTTATTGCCGCTCTTTTTGTAAATTTTATTATGAAAAGAAAAAAAACAAAACAAGTACTTTCCAGAAGGAGAATATCTGCCCTGTTTTGTCCTCCTATTTCTTAATTTTTTCACCTTTGATTAATTAAATTAGTGTTACAGGAATTACCGTTTCTCTCTCTTTCACTTTCGCAGTAATAGTAGGTATTAGTTGCGGCGAAGTTTCTTTTTTTTTGTTAAATTAGTGAAAAATGCCTCTTTATAAATTTTGTTTTTTCGGCTGATTCTCACAATTCTCAACTGTCTCTCCGTGTTCATCTCGCGTTTTTAAGCAGAGAAAATCAGCGAATCCCAAAGGTTTTTCTTTTTCTTTATTATTATTATTTAAAAAAACCAAAATTTTCCTTCATTTATATCGAAGCCGAAGAGAATTCTTAATTCAACCCTTTTCCTCTCATTCCTTTTCTTTGTCTTCTTTTCTTTCTCGATCTTGATTGTGGATCGCGAGTCTTTGATATCTTGAAGAATCGATTAAGCGTCAGCGGCGTTTGCTGTTGTGGTGGATTTGAAGTTGGTTATTGGACGAAAGAAAGAGAAACATAAATAAATTTCACTAACTTTTATTATTATTTATTTTTTAAGAGGTTAAGGTTTTGGTAAAAGGGGATTTTGCTGAAGATTGAGCGGTTTTTAATTTTAATGATGTTGACCTTAACTGATGGGTTTTGAAGTACTATGGAACTGGTTGTTACACGACAACAAGATGACGCTTTACATTGGTCGCGAAGCTTCAAAGGTATGTGTGTGTGTGTTTGTTTTGCTTGTTCTTTGTATTCGATAAATGGAAATTATAAGGGATTTTAATTTGATATTTTGGTTTTATTTTTTATTTTATTTTTGTAGTTATGGAAGAGAATTTCTGCAGAGACAACTACAGAGATCAACCTTCTTCTAGACAATTGGAAATACCTTCTTGCCGGTCTCATTTTTCAGGTTTTATTTTGTTTTTTGGGTGGCAAAGCGACCATTTTTTTTAATAGAGATGCTTGTTTTGGTGAAAAAAGTAGGATCTGGTAAACTGTAATGATCGTGGTTTCTTATATTTGTAACTTAAAGAAATGAAAATCTTATGCTTTTAGCATAAGATAAATCCCTATCATGGTTCAAACAGAAAACATTGCTTTTGCAATGGAAATTTTGACTTAAATGGATGTCGATTGTTTAAGCTTTAGTATGTTACTTTTACATTGTTTCTCAAAAGATTTGTGCGTCATCCAAGCTTGTTTAGTGTTTTTATTTTCCACATTCAAGTATACTTAATTTATGGTCACTTGTGGCTTCTGTTTTGGGTCTGAAATGTGCATTTCCTCTCTGCAGTACATACATGGTCTAGCTGCCCGAGGAGTTCATTATCTCCACCGGCCTGGGCCAACACTTAAGGATCTTGGGTTCTTTCTTCTTCCAGTAAGAACAAGTTTCTTTTGTTTTTGCTCTTTGCTTGTCTCTATTATGTGCCAATTATTAGGTAAAATGCATTCTTACATTTAACATTCTTGTAAATTTAGGAGCTCGGGCAAGATAAAGCCTACATCAGTGAGACGGTGTTCACCTTTATCTTTCTGTCATTTTTCTTGGTAAAGCTATTCCCATGTTGTTCGATTTTTTTTTTTTTTTACTTCTCTATTTATAATTCAAATTCATTAGTTTTATTCAGTTCTCACATATTTAGTACAGGATATTGTAGTTCTCTTATTTCAGTTCTATTAGCATCTTTTTTGTCTCCACTTCTAACATGCGAATTGCTACTTGCAGTGGACTTTCCATCCTTTCATCTTCAAGAGCAAAAAGATCTACACGGTTCTAGTTTGGTGCAGGGTGCTAGCATTTTTAGTTGTGAGTGCTGAGGCGTTAGTTTATCTTTTTGTTCTGATTATATATGCTCTCAACATAGGGCCCTGTTCTAGGACTAGTATGTAGGTTCTTACTTTTGTCATATTACACCAGTGTATGTTACCATGGTTGAGTGAGAATCAACTAAAGCATTGTTGGATTCTCCTATATTATCCTCATTCTCTGGCTAGTAATTTATTGAGCTGCTAATTCAATTTGAGAAGCTTAACCAACCTTGGTGCAATAGTAGTCAAGAGTCAAGTGAGTTCATTTTGGCTCAAATAGGACATAAATTACACAAAGGCAGATGATTTTGCCTTTCCCCCCTTTTTCTTTGTAACCAAGGTGTCTATGAATTTGAAGTACCATTTTCATCAATGACCTTTCCAATAAAACTGAACTCAATTCTGAAGTTGTTCAACTGCCCTTACTAATTTGATGAATCTTGATAAATCATGAAAAACCTCAAGCATTTCATCAGTATTTTACTTACAGTTGTTTTTTTTTTCTTTGTTTATTTATTTATTGCAGGCTTCTCAGACTCTCCGAATCATCACATTCTATTCTACTCAGCTTCCTGGTCCAAATTATCATTGCCGAGAGGTATACTCTTGAACTTATGTTATGTTTGTATTTGCCCTCGACTTTATGTTTACATTTTGAAATGGTATTCTTTTATTAATTTTTCTTCATTGTATATGTGTTCTCTGGGGATTAATGTAAGAAATGAAATTGGATTTTAAGATCATTTTATTTAATAACTCGTATTTTATGCAGGGTTCGAAGCTTGCCAGGTTGCCAAAACCGGATAGTGTGCTAGAAGTCCTCTTAATTAATTGTGTGTATTTTATTTTACTGATATTTTCAATTTATTGATTTTAAAGATGTAGATATGTTTTTTTAATAAGTACTTTGGCTTATTTGCTTGTCAAATTTGCAGTTCCTCGAGGTGTAATTTATGGTTGTGGTGACTTGATTTTTTCATCGCACATGATCTTCACCCTGGTCTTTGTGCTAACCTATCAGAAATATGGCACACAAAGGTAAAACATGGCTTATTCTTTTATGTAATTGCTTTTAGGTATTAGCCCAAAGATAAAGGGAAAAGACTAAAGGAAAAGTAACTATTGGGAACATCAAGAGATTATGATGTTGGGTACCATTCTTACAACATTTGTGATTCGCAAAAGCAAAATGTTTAGATCAGCTTGTACCCTAAGTATGTTTGATTAGTTGTCTTGTATTCAATCTATGGGCAATTTACTCTACCTTGCCCTGTTTACATACATATGAGTAGACAAATTGATTGATTTCTGATGGAATTGTTGTATAATTGCAGGTGTATAAAGCAGTTTGCTTGGTTGGTAGCTATTATTCAAAGTCTCTTGATTGTAGCATCCCGCAAACATTACACGGTTGACGTAGTTGTTGCATGGTATGAACTATACTTTTGAAATTTCTATATATAATTAAATTTTTATTCTTTTCAATTTAGCTTGACAATCGAATGATTTATCTGCAGGTACACCGTTAATTTAGTGGTATTCTTCTTAGACAAGAAACTGCCAGGTTAGAATATTTTGATCTTATCTAACTTTTGTCTAACCTTATTTTAATTCCTCTTCTCCATTGATTGGGGCATAAACCTTTGGTAGTGGTTCTAACACTGAGATTTACTGCAGAATTGCCTGACAGAACCAGTGGAAGTTCACTTCTTTTGCTGCCATTGAGCACCAAAGATAAGGATAGTAGGAGCAAAGAAGAGAATCAGAAGCTCTTGAATGGGAATTCTGTAGATCCTGCAGATTGGGTATAGTAATTTTATTGGTTAATTCTTTTCCGCTTTGAATATCTTTGCAGTGATATCCAATTTAGATTGTCATTTATTATTATTATTTTTTAATTTGTTTAGAGGCCGAGAACTCAAATTAATGGCAAGATTCTGGAAGATGCCAATGAAAACCATGTTAATACTGCAATGAATGGTGCGTAGATGATCGAAGCTGTAGCTGTCATTGTAATAGGGCTGTTTGAAACCTCATGATCTTGGAATAGAGGCTTAGCTTCTTCCAAGACTGGTAAATTTGATTTGTATTCTTAAGAAAACAGAACTTGAGTAGTGCACTTGTACGTTGTGCATTCCTCTCCCGTGTCTTGGTTATAACCATCAGCCATCATCAGCATCAACATGTATCATGGAATTTTCGAAGTTCCTGTTGCTGCTGTCATTCTCCTTCTCATGATGATAGTGCACTCATTTATGTCGAATGGTGAAATATTGATTTTGTCTCTCAATGCCGAAGGCCATTGAGATAAAACTACTTTTGAGAGACTATTAAATCTTTATAGTTCATATCAAGACTGGTTTGCAGGTGGGGACTTAAATCTTAATAAACAGGGGTAGGAATCGTGGCCCCTTAAATGTTCATGTAGTTGCGGTAGCTAGGCTTTAATACCTCTGATTCATGCCACAAAATTACCGACGGTGTGTTGACAAGGGGGAGCACATGACATTCCATTTGTTTACTGTTGCATGTGCTGGTGATGTAAGCTAATGCGTATTGTCTATGTGTTCCCAGGCGCCAGTTGTCTACAATTCTTCCCTCGCTTTTTTATACGTTTGAAAGGTGCAATAATGTGCTGGAAAGGCTTCTTTTTCCTTCCGTAACTAAGACAGGCTGCTTCATTTCTCTGGCTCCTATAGGAAACCCGTTTCTTAAAATGTTCCAATTATACTTTCGCCTATATTTAAGGGCTGCCCATCTTAGCCTACGTATCTTAATAGAAACTAAATATTGATTCTTAATTATTCTCATTCATACTGTGAAATTCATAATTCGTGATCTTAGATTTAATGTCTTAAACTAATGGTAACAATGAATGTGCTGACTGCTGACTATTATCAATGCATTGAAGAGAATGTGAAGCAATATATATATATATATATATATATATATATATATTGTCTGCCTAAAGAATCCAACAGAAGCAGCGTGGTCATTTTGATTGTTGAAGAACACAAATGCAGCCTGGACAAGGTCTTCGAAACAAAAACACTTCCATTTAAGTAATTCTGGTGTCGGTACTAGGGACTAGGGAGGCAACGAGGCATGTCGAGTATGACTTCCAATTGGAAAGAATATATCATGTGGATGTGAATGGGATACATCAAGATTGTTGAATACTTGAACATTTTCCATAGCCTTTTGGGGAAAAAAAAAAGTTCTAATGTCACAAACTCTGTCAGAACAAGGTATAATTTGAATGGGATTCGTCAAATCTTATTTCTAACTTCATTAGAAATGATTTAAACAAAAGAAGGGTATCCATATATTTCTAAGTCCGTCGTTATAATTTTTAGATAAAATTATGACGGATATCTCTATATTTTATCAAAATTTAAAATTTAGTTATTATATCATAATTCATATACATTTACTTCTTCTATTATTTTGATTTGATAGATTTAGTTTCACTATAACTCTATTAATTTTTTATTACTAAAAATGTTAATGTGATTATTAACTCGATGATATGGATATTGACTTTGTTGATGTGATAATTTGAAAGGATGAAATCGACTATTAAATTATCAAATTATCTTTATATTGATACAAAATTTAAAATTTAGTCATTCGAATATAATTTTATAAAAATCTTATCCTCATACAAACTAAAATTAATAATGTTGGTACAATTATTAATAAAAATCAAAGTTTTACTTTTTTTTAAAAAATCAAATCTCAAATTTTTGAGAAATTTTACATATTTTAAAATATTAATTTAATATTTTTTTAATATTTTAATTTTTGTAAAAATCATATTTTTAAAGTTTTGAAAAATCATGTTTTTAAATTTTTTAAAAATCATATTTTAATTTTAAAAAAATTCAAAATATTAAAATTTTATATTAATAGTAAAAAATTAATGAAATTTGTAAGTGAATTAAAATTATCAAATTAAAATAATATAAATTTTAAATTTATGAAATATAATAAAATTAAATTCTAAATTTTCATAAAATATAAAAATGTTTGATATAATTTGGTCTACCTTTATTGTATATTCTTTATTGTACTTTGCGTGATCAATTTGCTGCATATCCATATTAAAATTTGAAGGATATCAGCTATATAACAGCTAGTTTGGCTTGCTCATATGGACTTTTTTCGGAGTGTCTTTTTTAGGGATGATAGCGGATCATGTTGAAGTGAGATTTTGTTTGCTCCGAACCTGACTTGACTTTATATATAAAATTCGAATCCAATTTAACCTAATAAATTTTTTATTTTTTTTATACCCAAACTCGACTTGATTCGACATTGTATAAAATCATACATGACCTGATTCGAATTAATAAAATATTATTATTTAAATATAAAATAATATTTTTAATATAAATATAAAATTAAATAAATATATAGATATATATATAAATATAAAATTAAATAAATAAGTAAAAAAATAATTTTTATATATATCGGGTTGGGTCAGGTCAAGTTTGCCTAAAACCTGACCCGACTCGACCCCTGATTTTTTTTTCACTATTACCCAACTCGACTCGACCCGTTACTCGATTTAAAAAAAAAAAGACCTTAAGAGGTCGGGTCGGGTCGAAACTCGTCAAATTTGAGTTGGACTACCTTTCCTAGTCCTTGTAGTGACAATTCGATAGCAAATAGGCCCTATATTTATTTGGTGATCTTGTAAGTAAGGGTAAGTGGTAGACATTGTAATTATTTGGTATTTTGGATTAATAAAATTAATTAATTTGAATTTAAAGTCAATTATAGTCAAATTATAAGTAATTTTAATGATATCATATTATGATATATTCAATTATATAATATGATATTAATTAAGTATGATTTTAATTTAATTTTGTATTTAGACTCATAATGAGATGGATCAATCTTGATTAAAGTGTTAAAAGAGATTTTTGCTCTCACCTTTTATATATATATATATATATATATATATATAAGATTGATTCATTAGGTTTCATAACTTTAATTTTTTAAAGCAAAAAACACTTCTCTTTCTTTGTCTAGGTCACTGTTAAATTATGAATAGTTGCTGTGGTATCATATTATGATTTATCATATAATATAGTATGATATTAGTATGATTCTAATTTAATTTTGTATCTAGACCTATAATAGAATTGATCAATTTTGACTAACGTATTAAGGAAAATCTTTACTCTCATTTATATATTTATGAAGCTAATTTATTAGGTTTTATAAATTCAATTTATGAAGGTAAAAACAGTTCTCTTTTGCTCTTTGTGCTAGTCATCACTTGGAGCTAAAATATGACATCAAAAAATACGGGACGGCGTAACATCATTTTTGTGAATCTCAATTAAGTGGAATTAAACTCTTATCCACATACAAATGAGTTTTATTTTCAATTATAAATGGTATTAGTGACTTACGAGGTTGTGGATAAATCCAACAGTAGATACCCCATTTGTGGGGTTGACTAGAAATGAGAAGCTGGTGCAATTTAAATTGTGAAAGTTGGTCTAATATAAAGAAGCATGGGAGAAAACAATGGCAAGTTTGATTGAGAGGTTGAGGCTTGAGAGAAAGAAGCTGCAATTTTCATCATTGTTGCATATTTAAATAACGACCAGTTTCCTTTTGGCATGTCTTCCCTTTTTTTTTTCCTTGTTAAAAGCCAAAAAAGGGTTTTCTTGAACCCTGAGTGGGAGGTACTAGTTATGTCACCACCTGTCACACATGAAGTCTCTTGATTCTTTTGTTTTTGTTAACTTTGCCCCTTGATGGATGAGTGTGACTAGGGCATGCTTATATTGCAATAGGGATTTTATGTTTTTGTTGTATCTGATTTCTTGGGTCCATTTCTTGATTCTATGCTTCCATTTTAGAATAGAGATAGCAACATATACTTGTGATAAGATTTCGTATCTTTTTTCTCAATGACTACTGGTTAATTATGCATTAAACATATAGAAAATTCTGAAGTTCTAACTTTCAATTCATTATGAGAAATTCAAAAAAGAGCATTGGGAAGAGCCTTTGCTAAATTAGTACTTTTTACAACTTTTAATGTTCCAATACCAAGGAAAAAAGTGTAATGATACATTGATAGTTTCTTTCATTGAGTATGTTTGTTGGAACTTTTTGAAATGATATGTACTTTATAGGTAAGTTATAATCTGTAATACAAATCTCTTTCAAAAAGCCATCTGCCTTTTCTTCCATTGATTATGGTTTCTTAGATTGAAATTTTTAAGTTTATGACAAAAAAAATTTGAAAAAAGAGGTTGACGAGTCAAATGACAACTTGCTTGATTGTCAATGATCACATGCTTTCCCACCATTTCCTACAATCTACTCAAATCAATTACGAATGAAGCCTTTAAATTCAATCTTTCCTAAAACAATAATTTTTTTTTATGCTAAGTTTTTTTATTGACAAGTTTAATTAGATGATCATGTTGCTGGTAGTCATAAAACATGATTCATATTTTATGGTGAGTTTGTCATACGAAGTGTGATACCTAAATAACTTGCAAACTAAATGTTTATTCATTTCCCCACATTCACATTTTATCACATTTGCAATAAACAAAGCTAGAACTTTTGAACCCAAATTTCATATTTTCTCTTTTTTTGTTCAATTCTTTAACCATAAATAGTTCAAAGTTTTGAGCCAAAAAAAAAAAACATCAATGGCCAAAACAAAAAATGAAGAAAAACATAACAAAAAAATTGGTGGATTGGTCCCTGTCAAGAAAGATACTTAGCTAAATTTGATAATTATTTGATCAGGACATAATATAACACAAGTGAAAGCGATATTACTTTAAGATAATTAAGGGGACGTTTGGTTTACAAAATGTTGGATTTCAAAGGAAAATGTAATCATTAGGGGAAAGTTTGATTTTCAAGGCATCTTGTTTTTAGATTTTTATGTTTGGTTAAAGAGAATTTGTGTTTATTAAATCATGTATTTTTACTATAATATCCGTGATAACATAACAAACACAAAATTTTGTTAAAAAAAAATAAACACGACAATTAATGTCTTTATCTTAAAAAAGAACACATGTTTTTATATTTTTTATAAAATTTAAATTATACCAATTACTGCATTTATATAAAAAGCTACAGTAATTGATTTTTTTTTAAAAATAACTATGAACAATTATTGCATTATTTTTTAAAAAACATAATAATTGATTGTGTTAAAAATATTACAATGATCAAATAATGCATAATGAAGAAATAAACGCCATAATTGGTTATTTAAAAAAATGACTCAATTACTGCATTTTTCTTAAAAAAACGCAATAATTGATCATTTAACATGTTTTAATAAATCTAAAAA